AGGGGGTGCAAGGGGTGGCTCTGGCACTGGCTGCAGGTGCGAGTGGGGCCAGTGCAGTCAGTGGGTGTGAGCGGCAGCTGCTGCCCTGATCTCCCCTCAGGATGAGGGATAGGTGCAGAAGCCCTGAGGGGTGATCGGGGCTGGTAGCTGCCACTTGTACTTGCTGATGGCGCTGAAGTGGGTGTGAGTGAGGCCAACACTGGCAGTGGGTGTGAGTGGGGCTGGCACTAGCAGTGGGGGTGAGTGGGGCCAGCGCTGGCAGTGGGTGTGAGTGGGGCTGGCGCTGGCAGTGGATGTGAGTGGGGCCAGCAGTGGCAGGGGGTGGGAGTGAGGCCAGTGCTGTCAGTGGGGGAAGGCACTGGGGGGACTGTGCCATGCAGGAGCAAATAATTTTCAGTAACCACCAGAGGCTTGCCCGGATGACAGCAACCAGCGTTCTGCCTTGGTCTGGTGCCCCTATTCACTTGCTCCACCCATCCCACTACAGCCAATGCCCACCATGTTCTGCACTCACCCCCTGGTGGTCAGCGCACATCACAGCAATCGGTTGTTCAGTTGTTTAGTTTTTCCCCTGTTTGATTCATTTGCATATTAGGGTTTTATATTCTAGTATATAGATAGATGGGATTTTTGGTTTAATTTTAGACTCCAGTATGACTTTTTCATGGAAGATACTGTCTCTCTTGGGACTGGTTCTCCTGGGACTGCTTGTTGTGGTGGCTGTCGGCTGGATCCAGATGAAGAGCTTTAGTAAAGGTACGTGAGGCAAACAGACTGTGGGCACACCCGGCAGTGGGAGCCTCTCTCTTCAGGAGGCACCTATGGCAGTCATTCTCCAAACAGTCAGTAACTGATGAACAGAGACTCCATGACTTACGTTCATGCACTCAGATCAGTGCTGAATGAGGTCAGCGTTCACCGTGATATAGAAGCAAAAGGATGTAAAGACAATCATCTGTGGCTATGGACATTCCCAAGCGCTCTCATTAGGGGAGAGGAAGAAAAAGGTGGGAAAGCCAGCCTGGCTTTCTGGGCTGTGAGCTGAAACACAGATCCATTGGCAGGAGCATCTCACTGAGTCTTTCACAATGTGGTGATTGCTTATTGGTGATGAAAGACTTCTCATGTATTGAGATGCTATTCTATGTGCCCTGGAAAGTTCTTCCACTTAAAATTTCTCATGTCACTGTAACATTTGCTTGCCTGTTTGGATGTTAATTTCACAAAATTAATATTTTTAATGCTTCCATAATATTGCTTACTATCAGATTGGAATTTCTTCCTCTACAGTAAATGAGACACTGGATTCAAAGACAGCTCACCCAGAACTGACCCCTTCAAGGGAAGCAAGCATGGGACAGTCATGCAACCAGACATCCCACAGGGACTTGACAGCATACCCCATGCTCCAGGCCAGGAGGAGAGGTGGCACTGGGAGGCGGACGCTGAGGACAGGATGGGATGGGTTCTAGCTATTGACAAGGACAATGCTGGAGGGAGTCATCTCTGTGTCACCTGAAAATGAGTTTGGGCAGTGGGTGCTATGGACACGAGTCCTGGGCAATGCCCTCTTGTCATGCCTCCTCTCCCTGAAGATGGCCCAGGAGGGGTCATACTCTCCCTTGAGTGTGCCTGTGTACACCTCTTCTTTTATAACACGACCAAGTGCCCTATTGTCACCTTCCCCCATTTTATTCTCTGAAACTCTACACCTGCTCTTCATTCTTTGGCCCCTAATGTGGGTTCTCCTGGCACAGTTCCCTTTGGAAACCAAAATTAGATTCCAAGCACCAGCTTGTTTCTTTTTTTACCTTCAAGTGGGACTCACAAGACCATCAGGTACCAGATCTAAAGTGCTGTAATCTCTGGCTTCAAATTTGATTTGGTGACTGCTCCCTTCAGAGACATAACCATCCCAAGTCCTCTGATATCCTGCCTACTGATCACAATCTGATATCTGATGACCAAAGACCCTTAGAAAGTCCAATGGGGAATGCAGTTTAGCCTAGAGAAGGACATGCAGGAAATGGTCAAGTATTTTATTGGTTTCTTTAACAAGATGACAATTAATTATCCAAGTAGGGCTGAGAAATTATAAATACAGTTTAAAAAGAGTAAAAGGAAATACAGCTGAATATACAGAGAAAACCGATCACTAAGATATAATCTAGAAAATCATGCAAAATGTGGAATCCAAGACTTTTTCAGAAAGTTAATAGAAAATGTGGAGTGGAGACAATTTTCATAAATTCTAGTCCAAGAGAACATTTAATTATGTATCATGTATATGAAATGTCAATTTTGTTTTTAGAGAAAAATGAAACAGTTTAAAAATCAATAATTATGAAATAAATAAACATAAGCAATAAATGTAACAGAGTAAAAATATGTTAAAATCATAATAAATTAAAGAAGAGAAGTTACATGAGGAAGAAGAAATAATGTGAAAAAATGTCTTGGAAAAAGTCTTAACATCTTCTGAGGTGAGAGTGGGGAAAACCTGCAAACGACACTGCTGTTTCCCAGGTTGGCAATCATCATAGAGTTTTGCTGTTCTGTGAAGGTCATTCATCTACAGCAGCGGTTCTCAACCTGTGGGTCGAGACCCCTTTGGGGGTCGAACAACCCTTTCACTGGGGTCGCCTAAGACCATTGGAAAACACATATATAATTACGTATTGTTTTTTTGATTAATCACTATGTTTTAATTATGTTCAATTTGTATCAATGAAAATACATCCTGCACATCAGATATTTATTTACATTACGATTCATAACAGTAGCAAAATTACAGTTATGAAGTAGCAACGAAAATAATTTTATGGTTGGGGGTCATCACAACATGAGGAACTGTATTAAAGGGTCGCGGCATTAGGAAGGTTGAGAACCACTGATCTACAGCATTCTGGAGTTTCTTTCCAGTCATGATATTCTTGTTTTGTGTTTGAAACCATGTTAATTCTTCCACAATTATGGACACATTTATTTTATTTAGTTCTTAAAATTTTTTAATTGAGGTATGTGGAGAGTGGCTACAATGTTTGGATAGGTTCAAGCCTGGGACTAATGAGAGGGCACGATCTTCTCATGGCAAAGCCACGTGCAAGTCCCAGAACAATTATAGCCAAAGGCTATAGTTGTAAGCTTGACCTTATGGTCCAAGCCTGTGGTCCCACATAGCTAAGTGATATGGGCTGTGGTGGGTGCAGCAAGTAAACAAAGCTTGATCAGGCACATAATTGAGTAGATTCGAAACCCATAAGAGCATTGTAAATATCTTGACCATGCCCTTACTTTGCCCCGTGGAATCTGGCTATAAAATAAAGACTTGGCTTACAGGCTGTGGCGTTATCTCTCCATCAGAGAGGGCAGTGTCCCACCTAGACTAAGTTTTATTCTCTTGGCCATGCCAACTCAGCACAGAGGTAAAATACACATAACATAACGTTTATCATTTTGACCATTTTAAAGTACACAATTCAGTGATATTTATACTTTCATAATATCATGCAGCCATCATCATTATCTATTTCCTGAATATTTTCATTATTCTAAAATGAAACTCCATACCCATAAGCAGGCACAACACATTTTTCCCTCTCCCAAGCCCCAGGTAACTGCTAATCTATTTGGTCCTGATGTAATTACATAT